CTGATTATGGGAGCAGCTGATCCAACTAGAGCACATAACGTGAAATAACACATGATGAGCAATGATAAAGGATTCAGGTTTCTCCTGCAGAGTGGCTCTGATCCTCCATACTAAATTTCTGCTGCAGTCCTTTTATACCCACATGGGCCATCCTAGGCCAGAGAGCACATCTTAATTTTTTTTTTTTTAGACAGAGTCTCACTCTGTCACCCAGGCTGGAGTGCAATGGAATGATCTCAGCTCACTGCCACCTCTGCCTCCCAGGTTCAAGCAATTCTCCTGTCTCAGCCTCCTGAGTACCTGGTATTACAGGCACCCACCACCACATCTAGCTAATTTTTGTGTTTTTAGTAGAGACCGGGTTTCACCATGTTGGCCAGGCTGGCCTCAAACTCCTGACATCAGGTGATCCACACTTATCAAACTCCCAGAGTGTTGGGATTACAGGCGTGAGCCACTGTGCCTGGCCAAATCTTAATTATTTTATATTCTCAGAAACTAGCACAATCCCTGGCCCTCAGCAAGTTCTCAATAAATGTTTACTGAGAAAAAGAAGGGGCATGGTGGGGATTAGAGGGGAAGAGGGAGGAAGAAGGAGAGGAAAAGAGGCAGGGAGGGAAAGAAAGGGAGAGATGCAGAGGACAGAGGTACAGAGACACACAGATTGTATTCATCTTTAGAGATAATGTCCGGGAAGATCATAGACTGGACAAAAAGAATTCAGGAAGAATTTGTTTTCAATAATTGGAGGAAAGGTGCTTAAAGCAATTTTAGTAGTTATTTAAACAGAGAGGGTTAAAAAAAGGGGGGACTTGAGGCCAGGCATGGTAACTCATGTCTATAATCCCAGCACTTTGGGATGCCCAGGCAGGCAGATCACTTGAGGTCAGGAGTTCAACACCATGCTGGCCAACACGGCAAAACTCCATCTCTACTAAAAATACAAAAATCAGCCAGGTGTGGTGATGGACGCCTGTAATCCCAGCTACTTGGGAGGCTGAGGCAGGAGAATTTTTGAACCCAGGAGGTAGAGGCTGCAGTGAACCAAGATCATGTCATTGCACTCCAGCTTGGGTGACAGAGTGGGACTCGGTCTCAAAAAAAAAAAAAAGGCTTCATAACTGGGGTGAAGGACACTCCAAGTCTAAGGCCTGGAAATGGTGACGGGGTATGCAGATCAAATAAATGAGTAGGAGGTATCTGTGCCTGAGATGAGCATATCAGGACACCTAGGCCCGCATTTCCTCATTTGCTTGCTTTTAGAAAATTAACACTCACTATGTACTAGATGCAGTTCATTTTGTTGAATCCACACCACATTGTTATGGATACATGTTTTGGCCCCATTGTACAGATAGAAAAACTCAAGTCTAGAAAGGTAAAGTCACTGGCCCTGAGAAAGAGGGTGGAGCCCAGACTTAAACTTTCACATGCAAGTTTCAAAGTTGGTGCTCTTTCGAGAGCCAAGGAGGGAGAATCGCTGGAGCCCAGGATTTGGAGGTCAGCCTGGGCAACATAGTAAGACCCTGTCTCTACAAAAAGTTTTAAAAATTAGCTAGGTGTGGTGGGGTGAGCCTGTAGTCCCAATTCCTCAGGAGGCTGAGGTGGGAGGGCTGCTTGCGTCCAGGAGGTTGGGGCTGCAGTGAGCTATGCTCATGCCAGGCGACAGATTAAACCCTATCTTAAAAAAAAAAAAAAAAAGACCTAGGCAACACATTAAACCCTATCTTAAAAAAAAAAAGAAAGGGGGCAGTGTCTTAGCATCCTGCACGGTCTTGCCTCTGAAATGCTCTGTGCTCCTGAGGCTGAACAAAACACTGGGTTGAACCAATCTAGAAAGATTTTCCGAGTGAAACCTAAAAAGAATCTTTCCTATCCTTGTGGATACTAAGAGCCTCCCCAAAGGAGGGCATTGTCAAGAGCTTTTCATACATCTTTACAGGTCCCTGGAAAAGTGGCCTCCAAAGCAGTCTGGGAAACATTGAGCTAAAAAATAGAAGGAAAAGCCAGTAAAACTGTCCAGGCTGCCGGATGGAAGGTTAGGATCTTGGCCCTGATCAGCTACATGGGGAGCTCTTCCAGCCCAGGAAGAAAGGAAGTGTGGGAAAATCTGAGAGATGACATCATTTTTAATATAGGGGTTAAGAATGAATCAGAAAGGGACAGAAGAGCGTTCACTGAAAGAGGAATGGAGAGGGTCTAGGCAAGACGTAGCCAGAAATTGTTTTGAAGTTTGCAGCTCATGAGCCCATTTCTTGTGATCCCATTTCAAGCTCTACGCATTTTTCCCTACCAGTCCACATCATCCCATCCTCCCTTCCTTCATTATGTGACCATTTGACAATCTCCCAAGCTCTCCAGAGTCTTCTGTTGGGTAAAAAGGGCAAGCCATTGCTTATCTGTGACTGCCTCTGAACTCTTACTAATGTTATTTAAAACAAAAAAATTTGCCAAGAATCTAGGTAAAGCAATAGAAAGTTGGCAAATGCAACTTCCCCTAAACAGAGAAATACAATATGTGCATTGTGGGAACAGCAGGCACCAATCATGTGGAATAATTAATAGTTAGGACTCAGGCAGAGATTACTAAACCTGATTGAATTCACCCCTCTGTTAGGGTTTAAGAGAAAAGAAGGGAGAGGTAAGCAGCTTCCAAACAAGCCAAACCAACAGATGAGGAAGGAGTGCAGCCTAGTGGAGGCACAAATCCCCCCACAGACACAGTACGTGAGGCGTGCACCTCACTCAGAACCAGGAAAGGCCTCACCTTCTTCCTCCGTGACAACAGTCAGTCTTTCTCTCTATCACAACTTGAAATGACAAATTGTAAAAACTGCAACTTGCATTCTATTCTAGCCCAAAGGTCACTGAAATTCCCACACCTGCCTGAAACACACTTTAAAGCAGCTAGGATTTTAAAATCTCCCCACTATTAATAAAGAAACCTGAATTCTGTCCCTAAATGCCAATGCGAGAAAGATGACTTGAAGAATAAGAATAGGGCTTTTAATGACCTAAGAGCAGTGGTTCAAATCCTAGATCCAAAACAGAGCAGCCTGGGTGGCTTCTAGTTTGTTTTTTTCTTTTCTGAAATCCAGTCCCAGACTTGCCTACTAAATCATGGCCTCAGGGAGTGGAGCTGGCCACACGTACTTTGGAAAAGAGTTTCAGGTAATTCTGAAGTGTATCACTTCACTTTGTCAGAGCATCCAAAGAAAAGATCCTGCATCCTTACAGAAAAGCAAGCACTCGAAGCTGTCACTGCCTGTTTTTCTTCCTGGCTGGGAGCTTGACAGGTGAGTGCCCGGAGCTGGACAGGCGAGCCAGTGTGTTATGGCCTGGAGTTCACAGGGCCTGCGTTCAAATGTCAGTGACCTTGGGCAGGACAGCATCTGTCTAAGCCTCTGTTTCCTCACCTGTAAAATGGGTGACAGCACCTACCTCATAGAACTCTTAGAAGGATTAAGTATATGGCAACTACAAAAATCCACTTATTTCTAAATGTTCCGATGAAACCAGTGGTGTGCTGATTAATCAGCTTTCAAAAAAAAACAAAAACAAAAACACACCCTGATGAGGAGAAATGTGCACAGCTGAGAGCCAGTATGAGTCAGCTCCAGGATACCAGGACATGAACCGTAAGACAGGCCACTTTTGCTTCCGTGTAACACAGTGGGACAAAGGAGAGCACTCCTTGCACAGTGGAGCCACCTGTGGTACAGAGAAACTACTGTCCACTGCTCCTGGGATCCTACATCTTAGCTGCCATACATAAAATACGCTGGGAGGTGAACGCCATCGTCCTAACTAGTGTCCTCCCTACAGCAGACGGTGCTTAGACCTCCAGACAATTCTGGCAACCCTGCTCTTCTGAAACCTACAATCAGCCTTCTCCATCTATGAAAACGAGGCTGAATGATGCCCTCGACAGACATCCAGCTACCTTCCACATTCATTCTGCAAGTGTGTAGTGAGTGCCAACCACATTTCAGTCACACGAGTGGATGCTGGGAAGACAATGGAGAGCTAAATAGATGGAGCCCTTCACTCAGAGGGCTGATGGTGTGATTGGAGAGACAGACGACAAACAAGTAAACAAATAAGCAAGTAAACGATTTTAAATAGTGCTCCAGCTCTGGTTGAGATGTGATGGGAATAATAAAGAAAAGGGACCACGTACTTGGATGGAGTGACATCAGGTGACCAGGGCCCAGAGGCCAGAGGTGGTAGGGTAAGCAGCGTTCTCGGGGGCCCTCAAGGTTGCACCCCTGGTGTACATGCCCTGTGTGATGCTGTCCCCTGGTCTGAAGAGAACCTATGCTATGCTTCTGAACCACAGAATATGGCAAAGGTGAAGGGACTTTGGAGACATAATTGCAGTCTCAAATCTTCGGACTTTGAGCTTATGAAAAGGAAGATTATCCTGTGTGGGTCTGCCTTATTCAGGTGAACCCCTTAAAAGAAGTTCCAGGCCGGGTACAGTGGCTCATGCCTGCAGTCACGGTATTTTGGGAGGCCAAGGCAGGCGGATCACCTGAGGTCAGGAGTTTGAGATCAGCCAGGACAACATGGCAAAACTCCATCTCTACTAAAAATACAAAAATTAGCTGGGCATGGTGGCAGATGCCTGTAATTCCAGCTACTCAGGAGGCTAAGGCAGGAGAATTATTTGAACCCAGGAAGCGGAGGTTGCAGTGAGCTGAGATGGCATCACTGCACTCCAGCCTGGGCGACAGAACGAGACTCTGTCTCACCAAAAAAAAAAGAAGAAAGAAAGAAAGAAAGAAAGAAGAAGAAGAAGAAGAAGAAGAAGAAGAGGAGGAGGAGGAGGAGGAGGAGGAGGAGGAGGAGGAGGAGGAGGAGGAGGAGGAGGAGGAGGAGGAAGGGGAGGAGGAGGAAGAAGAAGAAGAAGAAGAGGAGGAGGAGGAGGAGGAGGAGGAGGAGGAGGAGGAGGAGGAGGAGGAGGAGGAAGAGGAAGTTCTATGCCCTTCCTGAAGGGGAAGAATGACAGCAAGACAGACACACTCTAGCTGGTCTTGAAATCAACAGCCAGGCTGTGCACTGCCATGGAGAAGGGGTAGCCTCTGGGACCTGATAGTCTCAGCCCTTCAGATAACCACAAGGAACCCCAGACAAGAACATAGCCCAGCTGACACTCAATGCAGCCTGTGAGTCCCTGAGCCCAGCCTAGCCCTGCCTGGACTCCTAACCCACAGACAGTGAGAAGAGAAATACCTGCCATTTTCAGCCACTCAACTTGTAGTCATTTGCTACACAGAATAGAAAACTCATAGTCATGTGAAGAGCAAGTGGAAGAGCTTCCCAGCAATGAAACCAGGTATAAAAGAGGAAAAGGTCAGAATGTTCTAGAAATTAGCAGAAAGTCATCGTGGCTGGAACAAGAAGGTTCAGAGAGAGGGGAGGCTCAGGCTGAGGCTGGAGTGGTGGCCAGCAGCCAGGTTATTTTGCTGGCTCTGTGGAGAGCAGACTAAGGAAGGAGAAGGACCCACCCTGGGGCTCTTTCAGAAATGATGGAGGCTCAGTTAATGGTAGAGGCAACAGGAAAGTACAGAAGAACTGGTTCCATACAGTGGGCCCTGCCTGGACTAGGGGACTGAGGGAGAAAGATGGAATCAAGACGAGCATCTGGAGGAACAAGGGTGCCATTTGCCACGTCTGGGAAGCCAACCCAAGAACTTCATCTTAGGCATGTTGCACTTGAGAAGCCCATGGCGATGTGAAGTACAAAGCTGACTACCTGATCTGAAACTCACAAGAGTTGTTTAGGCTACAGAAGTGAACATGGGCATGATCTACACACAGCCCTAACCCCACTTCAAAACACTTTCTGTTCAGTCCCTAGGGCACTCTGCATTTATCCCATCCTGATTGCCATATCTGTAGCCCCGCTCCTACACTCCTTCTATACTGTAAGCAATCGAAGGGCAGGCATTGTTCCACACCTCTTTTTAGCCCTGTAAAGTGTAGTACATAGCAGATGCTCAGTAAATACTCCTAAATCGAACTGCTGCATCAGTAATATAATGTTCAATATAAACTACTGTATATGGGTATGTATATAGATAGGTGTATTGGGTATATGTATGTATATTTTCACAATACAAATATGTATTATTTGCATGATATTATAAATGGAATAGAGGAAAAATAGTGGTTCCTATTTCCTTTTTTAGTAATGACACAAAATTAAAAGTAGGTTAATATCTAATTTTCCAATGGAAGTTCCTCAAGAACTGCAGATGTTTTGTGAAATATTTTTACTTTTTTTGCTTTGCTTTAGTTTGGCTCTAGGACTGGTCAGTTTCTTCCCCCACCCCCCACCATCTTACTCAGTATTTGTTCTACTTTGGAGAAATACAAGCTGATAAATTTTTTTATCATCCGAACACACTTCATCCTAGCTATTATACACATATACAGTATATGATCTTTTATCATTTAATATTCTACTAAGAAAGGTAATATTAGAAAATGTGCAAGAGAGGAAACTTTTTTATCCATTCGGAAAAGACAAGAAATACTAAGATACAGAATACAATTTCAACTGAAAAAATAAACAGAAGTTTTCCAATTTTAAGATCTTCTCAAGTACATCTACTTTAGATGTTTTGCACTAGTGTAAACACATTGTAACATTTAAATTTCTGATATTCTGAGGTGAAAGAGAATCAGTGTCATAATTAAAGTTTTTTTCATTACAATGATTTTAATGTGAACAGTTCTTGCCTTTTTAAAAAATTACTTACATTGCAGTTCCCTGAAGCAAAAACTTTAGAAACATGTATACAACAATGAGGAAACGATTAAGTAACTTACGATACATCCATAAGGTCATCATGAAGCCATTAAAAGTCATGATTTTGAAAAATACTTTAAAACTTAGGAAAGGTCTATGATATATTAAGTGAAAGGCACATAAACCTATACACATAATTCAAATGTTGTAAAACTATATACTTTGGGGTTCTCCATGTATAGAAATGCATAGAAAGAAAATCTAAATAAATTAGAAGAAAGTAGTAGCAGTGGTTATCTTTGGTGTTAGAATTATAGGTAATTTTAATTTTGCTACACATTTCTCCCCAAATGTCATTAAGTGGACAAATATCACATTTATAAAAAATAAAAGCAAATATTCCTTTAAAAAATGGCCCACTTTGGCCGGGCGTGGTGCCTCAAGCCTGTCATCCCAGCACTTTGGGAGGCCGAGGTGGGCGGATCACGAGGTGAAGAGATCGAGACCATCCTGGCCAACATGGTGAAACTCCGTCTCTACTAAAAATACAAAAATTAGCTGGGCGTGGTGGTGCACGCCTGTAGTCCCAGCTACTCGGGAGGCTGAGGCAGGAGAATTGCTTGAAGCCGGAAGACAGAGGTTGCAGTGAGCCGAGATTGTGTCACTGCACTCCAGCCAGGCGGCTGGCGACAGAGTGAGACTCTGTCTCAAAAAAAAAAAAAAAAAAAAGACCCACTTTAGACTTACCCGACCCTTCTCTTTCTTGTGTTCTTGATGAATAGCTTGAACTCGTGCTGTCCACTTGCTTTCCTACAAAAGAGTAAAAGAATAATTTATGTGCAACTATAACAGTGAGATCTATGCAATATGGAAGCTTCCTTTCTAGTGAGTACCTATGAAACCCAACTATATATCTAGTACAATTTTAGCTGGTGATAGTTTGGCTCTCTGTCCCCACTCAGATCTCATGTGTTGGAGGAGGGGCCTGGTAGGAGATGATTGAATCATGGGGCCGGACTTCCCCCTTGCTGTTCACATGATAGTGAGTGAGTTCTCACAGACTCTGGTTGTTTAAAGGTGTTTAGCCCTTCCCCCTTCGCTCTCTCTTTCCCTCCTGCTCCACCATTGTTAGACGTGCCTGCTTCCCCTTCTTCCTTCCACCATTTTCCTGAGGCCTCTCCAGCCATGCCTCCTGTGTAGCCTGTGGAACCGTGAGACAATTAAGCCTCTTTTCTTCATAAATTACCCAGTCTTAGGTAGTTATAGCACTGTGAGAACAGACTAATACAGCTGCTATTTTTTAAAGATATATATACAGTCAAAAATGCTTAAATACATTTGTATCTGGTTTTAAATTTATACCATAAGGCAGAGGTCAGCAATCATTTTTAAGAAGCTAGTAGTAAATATCATAGGCTCTGGGGGGCCAGACAACTTGGTTACAACACAACACAATACAGCTATGTCATCCCACAACTGCACTGGGACAATTGTACTAGGACAACCCATGGATAAGATGTAAGTGAACTAGCACCCATAAAATGTTACTGGGACATAGCCAGTAACACTTTATTTACAAAAGTAAGTGCTAGTTTGCCAACCTAAGAGGACAAAAGGAAACACTAGGGCTTCTGAGGCCATAGGTTCTGAACTGACAACACAACTCACAGGACAGAAACAGAAGAAATTTCGATGGGACCTTAGGATTTTATAACCACATCCTTGAGCTCATAAGCGAACAGCTGTGGTCTCCAGCCTGTTGGAAGCAACTGTCAACAGTTCAGTTCAGGACACAGCTCCTGGTCTCCTACCTTATACCAGGCACCTCACTGAGTGGCCACTGGCTCTGCTCTGCACTGGAGGTGAGTGGACACAGCCATAGAGAATCCCCATATAATGTGTGTGATCAGGCCCCACTTAGGGACTACAGAAGTGCTGTAGCCTAGAGGCTCAGGAGAACTTTCTGAAAGAGGTGCTTGCCCGGCTAGCTGAATATTAAAGAATGAGTAGAAGACAGGCCCCGAAAACTAGGGGCTGTAGGACAGGCAGGAAAGCAGCCAGAACTGAGGAAGACAGAAGGCCACGTTCTCAGAGGCATGGGCTGCTGGGCCACTGGAGTGTCAGGAAAGCAAAGAACAGAGGGAGATGGCCCAGAGTCCAGAATCTGAAGCACTCTGTGTGCTGGTGCGAAGTTCAGAATAAGGGACGCTGAAGGACTTAAGACAGGATGGGGACATGGTCAGCCTGACTGCAGTGGAGCAGGTAGATTTGGGTTTGGGAGGCAAGACGTGAGCATTGAAGCAAGAAGCAGTGGTCCCTGTTTCCAAAGTCTACTTACCTTTTTTAGAACAGCCTAGGTGTTTACAAAAATCCTGAATTTCTAAGCTCTCATCTCTATTTGCTTCCTGGTTTTAAAAAACTGTTCCGCTAAACCACGGTGACCAAAATAGCCACGGTGAAGATTGTGCTGATTACAGAGGTTTGCTTCCAAATGGAAGTGATTATGTTTGATAAGTGTAAGAGATCATCAGTTGGCCAGTTAGCAGTGTGTGTGTGTGTGCATGCACACGCGTGCGTGTCTGTGTGTGTGTATATATATATTTTTTTAATTTTTTTGAGATGGAGTTTCACTTTTGTTGCCCAGGCTGGAGGGTAATGGCATGATCTTGGCTCACTGCAACCTCCTCCTCCCAGGTTCAGGCAATTCTCCTGCCTCAGCCTTCTGAGTAGCTGGGATTACAGGCGCCCACCACCACTCCCAGCTAACTGAGCCAAGGTGGGTGGATCACCTGAGGTCAGGAGTTCTAGACCAGCCAGCCAACATGGTGAAACTCTATTTCTACTAAAAATACAGTTAGCAGTATATTTAAGCTCTAAAATAAAATCTGGTGCTTCAATATGCCCTTGAGAGCTACATCTAAAAGATGAAAAATCAATAGTGAGGTTATACTAACCAATTCAGATTGATTTTATGGAGGGAAGAAACTGTTGTGTATTCTATTCGCCAACAGCAAGCATGTAACAAACACCTCTTATGGCTTAGGAATGTTGTAGGAGACGAAGAAAAGACATAGTCACCTTCACGGTTACTGAAAAAGACAAACACTTTTCTGCAGATGACACTCACTGTACATCACTTCACTAAGAAGAAGGAAGGCATCCACTGTAGCTGTCACCCACTTGCATGTACCTGACTATCTAGAAGCTGCAGGACATTCTGGAAATCCTGGGGATATGGAGAACGGTCTTCTTTAAACTCGTGTGCATCTTTTAATGTGCCTATGTTGGACTTGATCTGCATATTGGACTTCTGGATTTCCGATAGTTGCTGTAAGATAAAATTCAAGCTTAGTACTACGGAGTACTACAGTTGGACTTTTAAAGACTGAAACAGAGAATAAAATCAGGGAGCACGTAGGTGTTTTAAATCTGACTGCCCTCTTGAATGCTCCTGGTGCTTCTCCCACGTCTGCTTCTCTGTGGTTTTACTGGATTGTTTCTGCTGCTTGCTGATCTTCCCATCAGAATACATACAGGGTGAAAAAAGGGGAAGGAAAATGTGACTTTCTAATCTTAAACAAGTCTTTTTTTTATATTTTTGAGACAGAGTCTCATCCTGTCGCCCAGGCCAGAGTGCAGTGATGTGATCATGGCTCACTGCAGCCTTAACTCTTTGGGTTCAAGCAATCCTTCCACCTCAGCCTCCCAGGTAGCTGGGACTACAGGCATGCACCACCACACCTGGCTAATTTTTGTAGAGACAGGGTTTTGCCATGTGGCCCAAGCTGGTCTCAAACTCCTGGGTTCATGGAGCAACCTGCCTACCTCGGCCACCCAAAGTGCTGGGATTACAGACATGAGCCACCAGGTCCAGCATGGTCTTAAAATTTTTGATGGGCACTTAATAGGTGCCAGAAACAGAAGAACTAAATACACCCGGTTCTTAAGCTAGTTTAGTGAGAGGCCAACACTGTCCAGGGACCACATCAGTAAATCCATTCGGGACACAACGTTTTAATTTTACCCTTTTCTTTTGATGTTACTCCCAATGTTACTCATGGCAAAAACCCTCAGAAAACCACAGAAGGTAATATTTTAACTTCAAAAACAAAAGGATGGGAGAGCGCACTTCTCCACTCCTCAGTGTAGGTTGCTCATAGTGACTTCATTTCAGAGGAGAGCAGGGAAAGGAGGAAGAAAGAAAATCTTCAGTGGAGAAACCTAACAAACACCATCTCAGCCAGGTAGCCAAGGTCGATAGCAATAGTTATAAATCATACGCAAGGTCTCAGACAGAACGTTTAGCTCTACCCCTCCTGCACAGAAATGCCATAGACAGAGTAAATTACCAAACATGGCTGTTTCCGTAAAACTTCACTCATGACACTGAAATGTGAACTTTAATGAAATTTTCCTGTGTCACAAATTAGTGTTCTTTTTTCCCAATATTTTTAAAATGTGACAAATGGCTGGGCATAGTGGCTCATGCCTGTAATTCCAGCACACTGGGAGGCCCAAGTGGGAGGAACACTTGAGGCCAGGAGTTCGAGACCATCCTGGCCAACATGGTGAAAGCGACTCTACTAAAAATACAAAAATTAGCCAGGTGTGCTGGCACATGCCTGTAACCCCAGCTACTCTGGCTGAGGCACGAGAATCACTTGAACCCAGGAGGCAGAGGTTGCAGTTAGCCAAGATCATGCCACTGCACTCCAGCGTGGGAGACAGAGCCAGAAACTGTCTCAAAAAAAAAGAAGTAAAACCTAGTCTTAGGTCACAGGCCAATCAAAAACAGGTGGTATGCTGGACTTGGTTCATGGGCCATAGTTCGCCAACCCCCACACTAGAGTTTAAAGAGTTTTAGGAAAGACTTCCCATGAATTCCAAAAGTATTTCTCTATTTTTGTTTATAAAATTTATTGGCCCCTAGAGGGAGCTCAAGGACCTTCACTCCACTCCCTTCCTGTCTTCCTTTTTGCCAAAGACTCAGATCAAATCTAACCAGGAAGCTTAGAATTCTCAGCAGGAGGACACTGATTGATTGGCTGCTTTCTAAAGAAGCAGCTCAGGTATCATCTATGCATGAGGCCAGGGCCGTAAGGACCATAGCTGTTCCCATAGGGGAGAGGGGCTCATTTAGCCATAAACTGCTTGCTTTAGAGACCACTCCCAGGCCTGGGTTGAGGAGGGGGCCTGGCAAAGGTTCTTACTCAGTCTTTCTGAGTCTGCTTCCTTCCCCTCCCACAGCACAGTGGAAAGTTCCAAAACTCAGGGAGGGGTTTCCAGTTCAAGGCTAACCTAACCAGATAGCAAAGAGGGACCTTCATAGAAGAGGGTCTTCAATATCTCACCATGTGTGTTCTGCACTGGAGTTTAAGGACAACGCTCCCAGTCTCAGCAAAACATCTCTGACTTGCTCTGTCTCCTCTATGCCTCCTTGAAGACTCTCAGGGAGAAGAATGTCTGCACAGGGTACTGTGAAGTAACTCCTGGATCCCCTGGCCTTAATGCCATCCTAACACCACCTCTCAAGGCAATCAATACCATAGGAATGTCTAGGTTTAATACTTACATATTCTAATGCTGAATTCTTTGAAGTTAATTCTTTAAATTGCTTCATAAACATCTCCTTGACTTTTTCCATTTCATCAACTAGTTTCTCCTTTTCTTCTTCTTTCCACCTATCAAATAACTTCAAAAAGTCTTCCTCTTTTGTTTTCTGCATTTCATATTCCTGAAATTATTTTAATACACAGGTTAAAAGTTCTGGTCTGAAGAAAATAAGCAATATTTAAAATAAAAGTTTATAGCGTTACTTCAAAAATGTTAGCTAGTACTGCTAATTTCAGTCAGGCTTGTGATAAATATTTCCTATCATGACAAGTCTGTGCACAATAGTTTTTCTAAAGGCAGCACACAGAATCCTCTTGTCCTTATATCCCTTAAAATACCAACACAGAGGCACAGAGGCCCAAGGGCTTCAGCTTTTTGTGTTCTGTGAACTTGTATAAAAGTCATGCCATAATAGACAAAATGTAAATATACTTTAAAGAAAACATATATTGAGCAATAAAAGAACATTTCTTGGCACCATAACAATGTGGGTAGTGTAGCTCCATCCCACCCCCAAAAAATAAAATTCAGATTTATAGGAGCTAGATTCAAGGTCAGCACTTGATATCTCAATGATCTTCAGGGTTTTTAAAAATCCAAATTGAGAGCTTGAACAACACTATAAGCCAACTAGCCCTAACAAACATATACAGAACTCTGTATCCAACAATGGCAGAATATGCATTCTTCTTAAATTCACATGGAATATTCACCAGGAAGACCTGTTTTTAGTCCGTAAAGTGTTTCTCAGATTTAAAGTGATTAAAATCATGATCACAATAGAATGAAGCCAGAATTCAGTAGCAGAAGGGAACTGGAAAATTAGCAAATACATGAAAATTAAACAACATGCTCTTAAACAACAAATGGGTTAAAGAAAAACTCCCTAGGGAAATTGGAAGATACTGTGAGGTTGATGAGAATGAAAACACAACATACCAAAATTCATGAGATGCAGCCAAATCCGTGCTCAGAAAGAAATTTATAGCTGTAAGAGCCTACATTTAAAAAGAAGAAAGGGCCAGGTATGGTGCCTCATGCCTGTTATTCCAACACTTTGGAAAGCCACAGTGAGGGAATTGCTTGACCTCAGGAGTTTGAGACCATCCTGGGAAACATTGTGAGACCTCATCTCTAACAAAAATTAAAAACAAAATTAGCCGGGCATGGTGGTATGTGCCTGTAATCCCAGCTGCTTAGGAGGCTGAGGTGGGAGGACCACCTGGACCTGGGAGGTCAAGGCTGCAGTAAGCTGTGATTGTACCACTGCACCCCGGCCTGGACAACAGAGAGAGATTCCATTTCCAAAAAACAGAGAAGAAGTAAAAGTTAAATAAATAGCCTAGCTAGAAAAAAATGAGCAAACCAAACTCAAAGGCAGCAGAAATAAAAAAATAATGAAAATTAGAGCAAAGATAAAACAAAGAACAGGAAAGCAACAGAGAGAATAAATGAAGCCAAAATTTGGTTCTTTGCAAAGATCAACAAAACTGACAGACTTTTAGCTACCCTGACTGAGAAGTGAAAGTGAGGTCATGACTACCAATCTTAGAGAAATTAAAAGGATTAAAAGGGAATATAATGAACAATTGTACACCAATAAATTAGATAAGCTAGATGAATGGACAAATTCCTAGAAACACACAAATTACCAGACTGACCCCAAGACAAAGGAAATGTCAATAGACTTTCGATAAATAAGGATAAGAGTTAGTAATCAAAACGTCCTAAAAAGGAAAAGTCCAAGAAAAGATGAGATGGCTTTACTAGTGAATTCTACCAACTATTTAAAGAAAATACCATAGAATCCACAAGAAACTGTTAAAGTAATAAATTCAGCAAAGTTTCAGAGTATAAAACAAAAAACAGTTATATTTCTATATACCAGCAACAATGCAAAACAGTTATATTTCTATATACCAGCAACGAAAAATCCAAAAAAGAAATTAAGAAAACAATTCCATTTATAATAGCATCCCAAAGAATAAAATACCTAGAAATAAATGTCACCCTAAAAGGTGAAAGACTTGTACACTGAGGATTGTCCAACTTCGTTATAAAAATTAAAGAACACCTAAATAAATGGAAAGACATCCCATCTTCGTGGATTGGTAGATTTAATATGGTAAAAGTGGCAATACTCTTCTAAGCAATCAAGAGATTCAATATAATCCCATTCTAATAACCTTCTCTGCAGAAATGGAAAAGCCAATCCTCAAATTTATATGGAACTGTAAGAGGCCACAAATAACCAAAACAATATTGAAAAAGAAAAACAAAGTTGGACAATGCACACTTATCAATTTAAATTAGACATACAGACTAATGGAATGGAATTGAGAATCCAGAGATAAACCCAAACATCTATGATCAACTGATTTCTAACAACGGTGCTAAGAACATTCAATGGAAAAAGAATTGTCTCTTCAATAAGTGGTGCTGGGACAACTGGATAAACCACACGCAAAAGTATGAAGTTGGGCCCCCTCTCAATCTGTATGTAAAAACTAACTCAAAATGGATCAATGACCTAAATATAAGAGCTAAAGTAATGAAACTATTAGAATATACAGCTCAACAAGAAAAAGGCAAACAACCCAATTTAAAAATGAGCAAAGGACTTGAATAGACATTTCTCCAAATGAGACATATACTAATGGAAAATAAGCATGAAGAGATGTTCAATATCATTGGTTGTTAGGAAAATATGAATTAAAACCTGATGAGATACCACTTCCCACCCACCCAATAGTATGGCTTTAATTAAGAAAACAGAAAAGTATAATAAGTGTTAGTGAGGATGTGGAGAAAAATGAACATTACTGGTGAAAATTTAACGTGGTACAGCTACTGTGAAAGACAGTTTGGTGGTTCCTGAGAAAGTTGGACATAAAATTACCATGTGACTCAGCAATTCCACTCCTAAGTATATAATCAAGAAAAATGAAAATATAGGTCCACATAGAAACTGCCACATGAATGTTTATAGTAGCATTATTCATTATAGCCAAAAGGTGAAAATGAACCAAATGTCCATCATTGGATGACTGGATAAACAAATGGTGCATACAAACATACAAACAATGGAATATTATTCAGCGAGACAAAAGGAAGTACTGATACACATTACAACTTAGATAAACCTCAAGAACATTACGCTAAGTGAAAAAATCAAGACACAAAGGTCACACAATCCTTTTTTGTTTTTTGGGTTTTTTTTTTGGAGATAGGGTCTCATTCTGTAGCCAACTGGAGTGCAGTTGTGAACACAGCTCACTGCAGCCTTGAGCTCCTGGACTCAAGCCATCTTACTCCTTCCTCAACCTCCTGAGTAGCTGGACCACAAGTGCATGCCACCAGCCTCGGCTAATTTTTAAATTTTTTGTAGAGACAGGGTCTCACCATGTTTCGCAGGCTGGTCTTGAACTCCTGGGCTCGAGCAATCCTCCCATCTTGCCCTCTCAAAATACTGGGATTACAGTTGTGAGCCACCACACCTGGTTTGCATATTTTTTAAATGAAATATACAGAATAGGAAAATTTGTAGACATAAAAACATTTGTGGTTAGCAGGGGATAACTGTAGCAGGAGTGATTATTTAATGGGTACAGGTTATTTTTCTGGGGTGTTGAAAATTTTGAAACTAGAGAGATGGTGGCTGCACTTCACTGTGAATACACTAAATGCTACTGAATTGTCTGCACATCACTGTAAATACACTAAATGCTACTGAATTGTACACTGTAAAATGGTTAATTATCTAAAAGAGATGTTGGTACACCATTGTTCATTCATAGCAGCACCAGTCATAACAGTTAAGAAGTGGATGCAACCCAAGTGTGCAACAACAGATGAATAAATAAGCAAAATGTGGTATATATACAATGCCATGAACTATTATTCAGCCTGAAAAAGGAAGGCAATTCTGACACACGCTACAACATAGATAAACCTTGAGGACGTTATGCTGAGTCAAATAAGCCAATGATGACAAAAAGGCAAATACTCTATGTTTTTATTCAAATGAGGTATCTAGAGCAGGCAAAATCATAGGGATGAAAAGTAGCTGGAAGGAAGTGGGAGTGGAGCACTGTTATTTAATTGGTAGACTTTCAGTTTTTCAGTATAAAAATGTTCTGGAGGGCTGGGTGCGGTGGCTCACGCCTGTAATCCCAGCACTTTGGGAGGCCGAGGCAGGTGGATCACGAGGTCAAGAGATCGAGACCATCCTGGTCAACATGGTGAAACCCCATCTCTACTAAAAATACAAAAAATTAGCTGGGCATGGTGGCGCGTGCCTGTAATCCCAGCTACTCAGGAGGCTGAGGCAGGAGAATTTCCTGAGCCCAGGAGGCGGAGGTTGTGGTGAGCCGAGATCGCGCCATTGCACTCCAGCCTGGGTAACAAGAGCGAAACTCTGTCTCAAAAAAAAAAAAAAAAAAAAAAGGTTCTGGAGATTGGCTGCATAACAATGTGAATATACTCACCACTGCTGAAATGTATACTTAAAATGGTTAAAATGATATTATATGTACACTACCACAGTTTAAAAAAGAGAGTGAGAGCGAGCCCATGTGGAAGACAGAGGGCTCCGTCAATTATTCTGTGAAATGACTGCTGTTTCCTAGAAAGTCACACTTCCTGTCCCCATGGGAGAAGCAAGGAAGAACTGAGCACACTGACAAGGAAACTGTGTGACAAGCAGTAGTGACAAGGAAAGAAATGCCCTTTGGTGGCCTTACTCCTCCATTAAGTATATCAAGGTCAACCCTCTGTTGGATCAACCGTGGCATACGTGGTACCCACGGTGTACCCACAGTGACCCATAGAAGTCAGAACCCAATGCATCATGGCCTGCTTTCCCCTTTGGCCCTCCATCACCCCAGTTATCTGTGAATGAGTCATTACAAGCACCCAACAGGCTGACACATGGGTCACACAGATGAGAAAAAAGAAAAAAGGAAACAGATTAGAAGTATGAAGGGGACTCAACCCACTATTGGTGGCTTTGAATATGGATGAAGAGGGCCAGGAGCCCAAGAGCATGGGCAGCCTCACGGGAAATGATGAGCAGCCCTCCCTCAATGAACAGCTTGGAAGAAAGTATAGACCTCTGGCCTACTCCTGCCAGGAACTGAACTCTGCCAACAACCAAGTAAGCAGGAAATACTCTGTTCTATGACCTCTACCAAGGCACATGGTCCTCCTGACACCTTGACTGTAGCCCAGTGAGATGTGAGAAGTGTCAGACTTATTTTAACCGAAATTTTAGAAAGCTAATTGTGTGTTACATGAATTCCACCTCAATTTTCCAAAAGGCTTTCAAAAAATAGAGAACGAGGCCGGGCGCGGTGGCTCATGCCTGTAATCCCAGCACTTTGGGAGGTCGAGGCGGGTAGATCATGAGGTCAGGAGTTTGAAACCATCCTGGCCAACAGGGTGAAACCTTGTCTCTACTAAAAATACAAAAATTAGCTGGTCATGGTGGCACTTTGCTGTAATCCCAGCTACTTGGGAGGCTGAGGCAGGAGAATTGCTTGAACCCGGACCCAGGAGGTGGAGGATGCGGTGAGCGGAGATCATGCCACTGCACTCGAGCCTGGGCTACAGAGCGAGACTCCATTTAAAAAAAAAAAAAAGAGAGAGAACTATATTTCCAGTGACGTGCTTTGTAGTAAGATACTGAAGAGTAGATTGGCAATAAGAAATACAATCATCTTGTCAAGTTCTACAGACTCTTAAGTGTCTTCTGTTTATTAGAGTCTGTGGCATAATTGAATTACATACAGTTGATTGTAATTAAAACACCACAGAATTCTGCCTGGTACCTTGGAGAATCTAACCGCACTGGCTTGGTGTGCAGCCTCTAGCTCAGACCTGGTGAGCTGCAGCTCTTCCTTCAATACAACAATCTCACTCCGGAGCTTCTCAATCTGTGCATTTTTCTGATACTCTGTTGGAACAGAAAATCATGTTAAAACACCATCTCTTACAAAACGTACCTGGAAACTTATGGGGTACAGTCCTATTGATAAGACAAAGGAAACTGCTCTCTTACTTGGGATACGATTACTTGTTTCATGCCACATGAACCAATTTTTGCTCTTTAGAGTTTATTTGGAGCCCTTTGTATTTTGGGGCACTGAATTATTTTTAGCAGATTCTTTCAGCGAGCAATAATGGTAACAAGGAATAATACAGGGTGCTTTGACCCAGTAGCACTCTGGGCTCTTCTTGGAGGGGCCTGTCTCAATCAGAGAAGGCAAGCAATGGCTTTCTCTGCAGGAACCACCATACTGAAGACTCTGGTTGCCATTCTTCAGGCTCCCAACGAACTCTCCTGAGGACCCCATCAGTGCTAATACAAGCAGAGGTCTGGGGGGTGCATTCACAATGCAAACTTGGGCCATAGCCTATCAACTGGGGTAGAAGTGAGGTACTGAAAAGTTGTAAAAGGAAGCAGCAAGTGAAAGGAAGAATACTTATGTACATGTACTTACATGCAGATGTACACATGACTGAATGGATGTACATGTGTCTGTGAGTGTAGACATGAAAGGTATGGAAACCAAAGTAGAAAGTCAGAATCTCAAAGATGACCTGAAGAAATAATACTCGTTTCAGAGTCTGAAACCCTCTCTGAAACGAGTATAAGTTAGAAAAAGATACTGAAACAGAAGAGAAAGAAGGTCAGTTTCACGCTAAAGAATGGTAGATTAATTAAAATAGTTCATCTTTCCAATGCACTGCTACGTTTTATCAGTGGTCCAAGACTTATTAATGAGATTATTACGCTGTTAAGTTTGTTTCTACGAAGCTTAGCTATTTCCTAAATAATCTAGTTAATTAAAATGGACAGAAATGGAAACAGCCTGGCCCAAAATGGAGGGAAATGTAGGTTATTGAGTAAATAAGACAAGTACACACGTCTAGATACTGAGAACATTTAAGATCAGAATAAGGTTCGGCACAGTGGCTCACACCTGTAATCCCAGCTCTTTGAGAGGCCAAAGCAGATGGATTAGTTGAGGCCAGGAGTTCGAGACCAGCCTGGGTAACATAGCAAAACCCCGTCTCTACTAAAAAAAAAGATACAAAAATTAGCCAGGCATGGTGGTGGGCACCTGTAGGCCCAGCTACTTGAGAGGCTGAGGCAAGAGAATCACTAGAACCCAGGAGGTGGAGGTTGCAGTGAGCTAAGATGATACCACTGCACTCCCACCTGAGTGACAGAGGGAGATACCATCTCAAAAAAAAAAGAAATGAAAGATCAGAAAGAGAATTTCTGTGGGTTACTGTGGCAATCTGCAGGAAGCTTTGATCTGCCCACGGAGAAAGAGGCTTTACATTCTTTGCTTTCGAGAACACTTCAATGGTAGGAAACCTGGCTCCTTGATAACCCTCAGAGTCCCCTCCCCTCTCTTGTGTCTTCATTTTGCATACCATCTATATTGTTGGTGGTACACACCCAAACACATCTTAGTATCTCTCACATCAAATGGAACAAAATTGTTCCTTGGTCTCATGTTTCTGTCCAGATGAAGCCTCATGTCTCTGCTCTCCTTCCCAGTAAGTGTTACTGAAACCAATATCTGGATACGGTAGGACCACTCCCTCATGATTCTCAGCTCAGCTAAACCAGACTTTTGTCCCTACCTGTCTACTGAAGCTGTCACCTACAACTGTCTTGACAAGAGCAGTCTATTCTCAGTCTTCATCTTACTCTGTACCTCAGGAGCATTCAATATGAATGACCACTGCCTCCTCTGTGAAATACTTTTCCCTTGGTTTCCATGACAACATAACCCCAAATTTCCCTCCAGCCTTGAGAAAGACTATTCCTAACTCTCTGCTGATGCCCTTTCTGAGCTCCTAGCTTTGGGATGACCTTGGGGCTGTCCTCACCCCCTTCTTTTCTCTATGTAGGTGACCTCAGCCAGACTAGCTCTACTCCAGTGATTCCCAGATTTAAATCTCCAACCTGGGTCTCTACCTCAAACTACAGCCCTCCAGTAACCCCACTACCTGCAGGTCCATTGCACGTGTGATGTAAATGCACCTATGGCAAGCACAAACTCTCATTCCTCTTCCTCCTTCAAACTACCCCGTGACCCAGGCCCTCCATCACAGGAAACATCACATCATTCACCCAAACATGGAGGACAGAAACTCAGGGTCGTCTGTAGGTTCTGGGTCCACAACATATCTGTTGCATCTTCACCTGGTCACCTGCCTGGGGACAAGGCTGGTCTAGGCCCCGGCCTCTCTCACCTGGGCTGTGATTGCAGCCTCCTCCCCTCACTCATCCACATCTTCCACTGTCACCCCAACAGTCTAGTCTTCATCCACAGCTAGAAGGGTCATGCTAAGGTACAAGTTAGATCATGCCCCCTCCTAACGGAATTCCTCCAGTGACTCCCTGCTATGCATATAAAAATATATACATTCCAGTCCATGCCTTCACGACCTCCCATGATCAGGCCCACAGTGCTCCAGCCTCACCGCATACATCACCTCACCCATTCTATTCCATTCCACCAGTCCTGCTTTTTCACAAACACAACATCCCGGCACACCACATGCCCTTTACAGTTAGTGTTCCCTTGGACTGCGACACACTTTTCCCAGACTTTCACCCCACCTAATGTCACTCTCTACCTCATTGTCCTGGGCTATGATCTTCTTCGCATTTGCCACCGTTCGAAAAGAATTACTCATTTATCTGTTTAAATGTGACTCCTGAAGCCCCCTTAGAATGCGAGACGAGAGAGAGAGAGAGTGGGGCTTCTCCGTTCTGCTTGTGGCTGTATCCCCAGCATGCAGTGCATGCACTGTATGCCACTCCCGAGGGCTCCATATTTACTTACTGAACTGACAGGGACCGTGATGCTTCTTTTAAAAGGATTGGGAAATATACTGGACCATGTCTCATTGCCAAAAGAAAAAGGGGGCAGAAAGAAAAGTCCTTTGAAACAGAGCTCGTTACTTACCAAAATGAGAATTTTCTTCATTGTGGCGGCGTTGAATGTGACTTTGTAGAAAAGCTTGGTTCATAAAGGCCTTGTCACAAAAATGGCACTGAAAAAAGAGCAACAAATCCAAGTGTCTGTAATGAGTGTCATCCCACTTAATTACAATTATAATTCAGGTACCTGGTTGGGCATGGTGGCTCACGCCTATAATCCCAGCACTTTTGGGAGGCTGAGGCAGGCAGATCACCTGAGGTCAGGAGTTCAAGATCAGCCTGGCCAACATGGTGACACTCCATATCCACAGAAAGATACAAAAATTAGCCTGGTATAGTGGTGTGCACCAGTTGTCCCAGCTACTAAGGAGACTGAGGCAGGAGAATCACTTCAACCTGGGGGGTGGAGGCTGTAGTGAGCCGAGATTGTGCCACTGTACTCCAGCGTGAGCAACAGAGCAAGACTCCACCTCAAAAAAAAAAAAAAAAAAAATCAGGTCTCCCTGAAAGATACCATACTGGCAAAAGATACTGAAAGCGTGACTAAAAAGAGAGACATGAGACCAGGCCAGGCACGGTGGCTCATGCCTATAATCCCAGCACTTAGGAGGCCAAAAGCGGTGGGGGGTGGGGGGGGGGTCACTCAGCCAGGAGTTCAAGACCAGCCTGGGCAACATGGCCAGAGCTCATCTCTACAGAAAGCAAAAATATAAGTAAATAAATAAAAATAAAACCAGGACATTCCTCCCAAACTGAACACAAGGCAGTGAAAACCATCTGTTGACAGTTAAAGGAGCCCTTCTGGTGCTTTCTGGAGCCCCTGTCGCTGCTCTTGTTAGACTGGCAGCTCCCATTCTATCAACAACAACCTGCCGGTGCCACTCCAGTCACACCAGCCTTCTTTCTGTCCCTCAGGCCTGCCAGTCCCAGAGTCTTCGCATCACTGTTGCCCCTGCCTGATCTTCCCAAGACCTTCCTCCCATGGCTGGCACCTTCCTGACATCCACGGTGTCATTCATCCAGCATCTTCCACGCTGGCGATGATGGCATGTCCTCAACAAGGTCCTCCCTCAAGATCCTCCTGCCAGTCTCTGTCACATCACATTGTCTTATTTTCATCTTCGTACATCTCACTGGCTAATATTTTCACATTTATGTACTTCACTTGTTTATTGTCTCCTGCCCAGTCCCTCCGGGTTCTAAAACACAGCATCTGAGGGCAGGGACTCCAGCTTATCTATAGTTTTGTTGCCAAAGCACAACCTTAATACATGAATGAATAAAAGCTTGGGAGTATAACCTATCAAAATAAATTTTCTGAGAAAAAAAGAAATCAATTCCACCTATACCTCTGTTTTTCCACTTTAATATTGATTCAAATTTTAAGCAAAAATCCCATTTGTTTTATCTATATCTTTACCACTGGATTACTCTGAGGTAAATCCTGGATGTTATATATTTCATTTGTAAATATTTCAGAATGTATCTCTAAAAGAAAGGTAGGAGTTGAAGACAAATCAATACCATTATTCCACCTTATAAAATATAAAAATTAAATTCTTTTTAAAAACAGATATCCAACTCTTTGGATAATTTTTAATTTTTGTTAATTTGATAATTTTTCCCATATTTCACATATTGTCTTAGAAAAAAACATTTGGTTTGTTTTGGAATAAATATTAATAACTGGATCCAAATAAGGCTCATATCCTGTAACTGATGCTTTTGTGTCTTAATACTCTTAACAGGTTTCCCCTCCACCTCTTTGGTTTCTTCCTATCCTTTTGCTGAAGAGGCTGAAGCTTGTCCTGCAGAATTTCTCTCCATCTGGGTTCTGCTGTTTTCATGCCCATTGTGTCACTGAGCATGTTCTTCTGTTCACCATACTGCCTTAGTGTAACTTTATCCAGACTTCAGGCTTTGGTTTCTAAAACTAACATTCTGTATGTTTTTCTTTTCTTTTCTTTTTTCGGACAGTGTCTCCCTCCACCACCCAGACTGGAGTCTAGTGGCGCAGTCATGGCTCACTGCAGCCTTAACCTCCCAGGTTCAAGCGAGTCTCCTGTCTCAGCCTCCCAAGTAGCTGGGATTACAGGTGCCTGCCACCACTAATTTTTGTATTTTTAGTAAAGATGGGCTTTCACCATGTTGGCCAACCTGGTCACAAACTCTCAACCTCAAATGATCCACCCACCTTGGCCTCCCAAAATGCTGGAATTACAGGCATGAGCCACCAAGCCCGGCCTAACCTGAGTTAAATCTAAAAGGTGGGTACATGGTGTGTCTTTCAGTAGTCTATGCACTTTTTTGTATATTTATAATATTCTAATACTAGTTTTTATTTAAAAATCAATGAGGTTTCTCTTTTAAAATTCTCCATATATGGGTATTCACTATATTGTCATTTTAATTTTTCTGTGTTTAAAAATTTTTTTTAAATAAAATATTGAGGAAAAAGACCTTACACATTGCCATCACCACCCCCCTTATACACAACACACACACACACACACACACACATACCCCAGTGGGGGGAAAAAAGCCCATTAGGAGTTGTATGTGTGTCTGTGTGTTCAAGCCTTCAAGAACAGACATCTTTAATTTTTTTTGTCTCAGCTACTCCGTTCTTATGATTTCTTAAAGCAAAGAAAATGGAGACAAAGAGAAGTGGTATGAGAAGGAGAATAAGACCACGATTCCTCTAAGGTCACACTGATAATGCTGTGGACCCAATCATTGTGTCAGAACAAGGAGTCCAGGCTTTGGCTTTTCTGTATAGGGGAAGAAAGAAAAACTGACGTGATGGCAGTCATATGAATGTTCACATTTTGGAATATGTCAGCTTTGGCATTTATCGTGCCACAAAACATTTTTCCCTCATTCCCAGGTATTCGCTAACACAGTAACAACTAACTATATGTCAAGCACTGCTCTAAGCACAGCCCATGCACTAAGTCATTCAATCCCCATTAACAACTGCTATATGGTAGGTACAATTAATATTCCCATTTCACAGAGTAGATACTGAGGCACAGGGAGGATGAGCAACTTGCCAAGGTCTGGTAGCTGAAAAAGTAGTAGGTGTCACTCATTTGACAAATTAAGTCATTACCTTTTAATCCTTACTGATCATTCATATTTGAAAACCTTCTCTTAGGCTGGGCATGGTGGCTCACATTTGTAATCCCAGCAGTTTGGGAGGCTGAGGCAGGCGGATCACTTGAGGTCAGGAGCTCAAGACTAGCCTGGTCAAAATAATGAAACCCCATCTCTACTAAAAATACAAAAATTAGCCGGGTGTGGTGGCACATGCATGTAGTCCCAGCTACTTGGGAGGCTGAGGTGGGAGAATCACTTGAACCCAGGAGACGGAGGCTGCAGTGAGCCGAAATTGCACCACTGCATTCCAGCCCTGCAGCCTGGACAACAGAGTAAGATTCTGTCTCAAAGAAAAAAAAGAAAAAAGAAAATTTTCTCTTGTAACAGCTGTTTCAATGGTAACCCCAAAAAAGAGGGAAAAAAAGTTTATAAACATACAATTTCTATATGTTAGAGGTTTTATCATTTCGCTAGACGACTGCTAAAGCTGGAGTATAATAAACTTTTAAACATGTTAAAATAGAATCCATTCTATTCATTGCACAAGAAAAAACCATCTTGGCACTATTTATAAATATTTAATTGTTAAGCAGCATTTATGAAACAAATAGACAATTAGCAATGCCCAGTGTTGTTTGAAGATTATACCTCAGGGTTATCTACCCGAGACCAAACACTAAGTCCTTTTAATAGTATTTTTTTTTTTTTTTCTTTTTGAGATGGAGTCTCGCTCTGTCACCAGGCTGGAGTGCAGTGGCTCAATCTTGGCTCACTACAGTCTCCACCTCCTGGGTTCAAGCCATCCTCTTACCTCAGCCTTCTGAGTAGCTAGGATTACAGGCACGTGCCGCCACACCCAGCTAATTTTTGTAGTTTTAGTAGAGATGGGGTTTCACTATGTTGGCCAGGATGATCTCAATCTCTTGACCTTGTGATCCACCCACCTCGGCCTCCCAAAGTGCTGGGATTACAGGCATGAGCCACCATGCCCAGCCTCTAATAGTATTCTTTCCTAACTATTCCTCTATCTGAAGAACATTCCTGCTGGGTCAGCCCTGAGCAATATTAACTCTATCATTTTCTCTGCCTTCCACCCGGTTCTCTTCAGCATTCATGCATTGACTCCACTATTCCTAAATCTACTGAGGCATTTTAAGCCATAGTTGGCCAAAAGGACTAGAAAGTAAGGGCATGGCATCAATGTTGTTAATCTGTTGTGTACTTCGATGTCTTTCTCAATCATTGTTTATGCCTTCTGCACATCCTCCAACTAGTCAATAAAAAACATATACATTGGTTTATGTTATACTAAAAAATACTTGGACTCAATGTCTAACCCAAAACAGTGGCAGATTAAGACCAGACGATAAAAACATTTTATTCTTTAAATACTGTTGTTATGTAAGTGAATGTTCTTTTTCTTAGAAATATTTAGGATCTGCAACTCACTGTGAAATGGTTCGAAAGTAATAATAATATGTCTGCAGAAACAGCGGAACTGTGGCGAATGCTAATAATTGGGGAATCTGGGTGAAGGTAATATGAAAATTCTTTACACTCTCCTGGTAACTTTTCTATCAGTTTGAAAATATTTCACAATTTGTAAAAATGAGAAAAAGACACTACAAATTTAATCGTTCTGGATCGTTTGGGGGCTGACTTCAACAGCAATTTGTATATGGTTTTTTTCATGATTAGGTTGATTAGAAGGAGGAAAGAGTTTCAACAACCAGCATTTAGAATAACTTCCGCAAAGCACTGCAGACGACATTTGTGGTTTAATTATTAAACCTCTGGTCGTCTGCGGAAGCTAATGAACCATGACATTTGTTGGTTAAAATGACTGTTTTTGCTTAAAATACTGTGTCTTCTGATATACAATATACATCTTTAAGAAGAAAGAGTGGTGAACCAGGACAGGCCTCTCAAATGGAACACAGCTGCCCACCTGGTAATAGTTGGCTCTGGCCTCGATCATCAGCTGCTGGGAGGAGATCATCTTCTTCCTGCGTTTGCACTCTTCCTTAAGCATCTTGATCTCCCCCGCCTGCTTGGATAGCAGCTCCTTGCTCTGCTCACCGTCGCAGTGGCTCAGGCGCAGCCGCTCCTCTAGGGTGTGCAGCTGCGAGGTGAGGAACTCCTGCGAGTGCAGGAGGTACTCGATGGTGAACTGCGCCAGACGGATGAGCTTCAGCAGCACTGGATCCACCCCCGACTGGCAATGCGGGCACTTCTCGTCCTCCAGCTTGCAGAAGGTGATGTTCATGATGTTCTCCTGCAGCGTCAGCACGTCCACGGCCCCCGCCACCTTGTCCACGTCGATGGCACTCAGCCGCCGCCAGTCCACACTCTCCAGCCGCGGCCTGAACTGGAAGAAGGGCAGGGGCCCCGAAGCCGAACTGGGGGGCTCACCAGCCATGGAGGCCACGCCGGCAGCGGCGGCCACACCGACGTCGGGCCCCTCTGGGCCGCTGGAGAGTGGGTAGTAGACATGCTTCTGGAAGGGCTGCGGGGGCGGAGGGGACAAAGAGAGCGCGGTGGGAGGCGGGGATGGGGGGTGGGCAGGCTGGGGAGCTGGGGGTCCAGGGGAGCCCCGGTCTTTTCAGCCCGGCCTCCCACCTCTTACCATGCTTGCAAGCCAATCCGCCGCCTCTGCTTGCGTAGGGGGAGCAGGCAGCCTCCTCTACCCAGCCCGGGCCGCCTCCCGGGCCGCCGCCGCCGCAGCCCTCAGGAACGGGAGAAGGCCAGGTCCCCTGCTTCCGCGGCGGCGGCGGCGGCGGCCTAAGGTCTGGGCGTCCAGGACGTTGCTGTGGCAACGCCCAGGTCCGGACCTGGAGCAAAGGGCGCGTCCACCCGCGCGCGGTCAGCATGCGCCCAGGACCCTGTGGGACCAGAGAAAACCTCTTGGACGAGCCCGAGTGGACACAGCCGTCCACCCGAGGAGGATACCTCCTGGACGCCGGCTCCCCAGGGCGCCAACTTCCCTGGCCTTTGGGGCTGGACACTCCATGTCCCTAAGGTAGGCGTGGGGAGCCACATCCCTGGGAACCCTCGGTACTATCTGCCATCCCTGGTTATTTATTCACTGCAGCCCTGGCCTTAGGCTTTGGAATTAGAAATATCTCTTCATTTCATCACTGATAAGAAAAGAAAAAAAATCCATCCATTCTCATCTTTTACACACGATTTAGAAAACATTAAGCAATAAAAATACATATAATTAAATGGGGTAGAGGCTGCAAAAAGGCATGAGGAAGCTTTTGGCATAACAGAAATATTCTTCATTTTGATTGCGGTGTTGATTACGTAGCAATATACACTTGACCAAATTCATCAAATTGTATCGTTAAAATTAAGGGTGCATTTTTATTATATCTCAATAAAGTTGTTTTCAATGAAATTTGCAGTATTTCATATTTGATGGCAGGCTTTCTAGATTTCTTATACCCAAGTTGCTTTTAAAATGGAGACTTTCTTCCTCTATAGATTAGCAGCCTAAATGTAGCATTTTGATAAAAGTACAAACCAAAGAACGCCCCAAAATATGTAATACTTCACCTATCTTTCCAAAAGGATATATTCTCAAAATGCTGAAGGTAGAAACAGATGAAGGGGAATTTTACCAACAAGTTTTATAGGGCCATGGTATTTACCTTGCAAACTTGGGTCAGGGCTGCATTCTGGGTTTTGGAGAGGCTAAAATATTTCTAGTAGCAACTTGTAGACCTCAGGCCTCTCATTTCTGTGGGTCTCCTGGGGGCCTCCAGTGGTTACCACAGAGATCAATAAGCTGAGGAAAAGCCAGATATTCCCCAATCCACCGGGGAATTCCTGCTTGGACCAGACATCAGGAATTTTTTTTTCTTTCCTAACATCCAAATATGTGAACAGAAGAAAGGAAAATACAATTCAGAGTAACTGGAAGCAAAGTGGTAATATCAAATATATTTAGCACTTTCTAAATATCGTTAACTGGAAATAAACTCATGCAAAAACATCCAGGAAATAAAACACCACTTCATATGGTTTCAAATAAATCATACGTCCAAGTATTTTTTAATTGGCCTTTAGAAAAACAGAACAATTTCCTACAACCAGGCATAAAAGTGCTAAAGGCATAAATAAGTTCAAAGTTTGATTCTGTCATTTACTTGCTACCTAATCTAGAACAAATTGTCAGCCCTAAGACTCGGCTTCCCCCATCTGTTTAAGGGCATCAAGACACCAACCTGACAGGTCTGTAGACTCTGGGCTCCATCCACTGGGCTGCAGGATCAGCGGGAACAAGGGCTGTGGTCTCTCTTGCTCACGGATATATCCCTACCACCTAGCAGAGGACAGGCACGAAGAAGGCGTTCAGAATTTGCTGAAAGCACACGTGAATGAAGAACGATCAAATGACTTAGGCGCTTGGTTAAGGAAACGTCAGCTCCCGCCCCCTTATCCCTCCTATTTTGCTGTCACTGGCCTGTTAGAAGGATTAACCCATGCTCTGGGCCAAGGGCTTCGGGGCTGAACCTGGCGGTGGTCCTCGCGTCCCTGCTGAGGTCTGGGCGCAGATGCCCGCGGGCCTGAGGCGCCCATCTCCATTGGCCGCCACACTCCATCGTGGGGCGCCGTGCGGTTGCCCACCCCTGTCCCTTGCGCGGATCTCGGTCACAAGATGGCCGGAACAGGAAAGAAGGGGGCATGCTTTCCCGTTCCCTCCCTTCCCCATCCCGGGTAGGGCCCCCAGCCTCGGGCGGCGCCTCAGGTCGCAGGCGCATGGCACCGCCTGGCAGCGGAACCCGCAAACAAAGGCTGAGAGACGCGGGCTCCGAGGAGACCTCGGCGCCCGCGGCGCCCCTCCTAGGAAGGCAAACTGGTAGTGGGGGCTGCAGCGGCTCGGCTCGCAGCCGGGAGAGGCAGGAGGGCCCGCTTCGCGGGTATCGAGATGCCCGTCCGCCACCGGCTCCTGTGGGCGCCTAGCGCATCTCAGGTCTCGGCTCACCCCAGCTACGCGCTCCTGGGCGGGTGCCGGGCGCTGCAGGCGGGCGGGGGCGACACAGGGGACCCAGACCCCAGGTCGCTGCTAACGCGGGCAGGGCCCGCGGAGGCCGAGGAGCAGCAGATCGGAGAGAGGCAGACCGGCTCCTTCTTGCAGGGCGCAGGATGAAACGTGTCTCGTCTGGGCAAGTTGTGGCGAGGCGGATCGCCTGGCGCAGCTCCAGGTCCTTCCAGACTCCAGATCGCGGGCGACTCGGGATCCCCCACCCCCCTCCCGCCCCCTCCCCTCCGCGATCTCCCTCTGGCTTCTTCCCTCCTTGTCCCAGCTCCTCTGGCAGCTGGGCGGGACCGCGCGCTTCTAGACCGCAGCGCTAAAATGCTCTCCGCCAATCCCGCAGCAGGCTAAGACACGTGGTGCCCGGGCGCGCTCTGTTGCTGGCGCTGGATGCTCACCCTAGGAAGGCTTTTCCAAGAGAAACCAGATTCGCTCCTACCCTGTAGTTGGCCTGGCCCTCAGCAAGCTAATTTCCCTCAGGAGCTTTATGTGAATTATCTTCCAAGAAGAGATGCGTTTTAATCGCAGAAGTCTGCAGATGCAGATGACCTTGAAAAGGCTATCTAATGTAGCCCTGCATTGAGTGACATGGAAAACCGAGATTAGGGGCTTTTCGCCAAAGCACTCTAGGATTTAAACCCACGTAGGTTTCTGCGTCTGTTCCCGATATGCCCACTTTAGGATGAAAAGCACAGATCCCTGTTGGTAGGAAGTTAGGCATTGCGAATTACAGGAGATGTAGGTCCGGAGTAGTGTGCGTATTTCTTTAACCTAAAAGTGGAACACGTGGGACAAAATTCAGTATTTTTAAATCACAAGTAACCCAGAACATGTGTATATACTATCAAGAGAAATTTGAGTGCATCTTTTTGCAAAACCCGTCTACTGGAGATATATATCTGTATCTATCTATCTGTCTATCTATCTATCTATCTATATATGTACAGTTTTAAATTAGAAAGGAGTAGCTGCAGAACTTTTATTGGACCAACTTGCCATTGTAAAAGTGCCTTTCTTTGTGCTTCTCCCTGACAGAATCAACTTTGTACCATACTTGAGCACAGGCTACAAACATAGCAACAGCTAAATATATATTTATGTTGAATTCTTTGCTTCAGTTTTATCTGAAGCCATAAGGCCTAGAATGACCATGATAGTATTTTAAATTGATCTAATTTTAAAATGCTTTCAAAGAAAATTCAAGATCTCGATAAAAATCCTGTTGATACTATGGGGAAAGATTTCTAGATAGAAATTTCAGACAATATGAGGTAGTAGGGCCATTGCTCTGCAAAATCTGGGTTTTGCAAACTCCGTAGCCATGTGTGTGTGTGTGTGTGTGTGTGTGTGATTGCTTAATTAATATTATTTGTTGATTTACCATTTGAGTTATATGTACTTCCCATCCCCACTATGAATATATTACACTACAAATGTGGAATTGGAGTAAGAAGAACCAATTGACTTTGGTGTAACTAAGCAGCCATGATGCATTCTTGATCTGTGCACAAACACTTATACCAATTGTCACATCAAACATGTTTTTTAATGATTAAGGTATCTGTCTCATGCATCGGATTATAAGAACCTCAAGCATTCTAGCATTTTAAGCATTTAGTAAGTCCTCAAACAAATATTCACTTTTTGAAGACAGAAATGATCCTAAAGAGCAATATAATAATATTGGTGAATATTAATCATTTTGTACAGTAAGTAAACAAAAGCACTGCAGCTGAATTTATTTCAAATGTTTGTTTCTATTTCTCTCATTTGAAAATAGCTATTGATATTACGTGGCTAATGTCCTTTAGTATGAAGGGAATAAATAAAGAAGGGCAGAAATCACATGTGTTGTCTGAGTCAATACCTATTATTTTGTCTCATATTCCCATTTCAGAGATCTAACCTTGGTTTTATATATGTGGTTTAAAGAATAATAGGCCAGGTGCTGTGGTTTAAACCTGTGATCTCAGCACTTTGGGAGGCCAAGGTGGGTGGATACCACAGGTCAAGAGTTTGAGACCAACCTGGGTAACATGGTGAAACCCTGTCTCTACTAAAAGTACAAAAATTAGCCGGGCATGGTGGTGCATGCCCATAATCCCAGCTACTTAGGAAGCTGAGGCTCGAGAATTGCTTGAACCCAGGAAGTGGAGGTTGCAGTGAGCCGAGATCTCACCGCTTGCACTCCAGCCGTGTGACAGAGCAAGACTCCATCAAAAAAAAAATAATAATAAAATAAAATTAAAAAGAAGAATAATAAAATGAACACTTGTTCATTTTACCCACCCCCAGGTTAAGAAAAAAAAAAAATGTTCCCAACATTTTAGAAGCTGCTCTTCTCTCCACCTCTACCATCGCATCCCTTTCCATCCTCTCAAAAATAACTACTCGCCTAACTGTTGCATGAATCCTTCCCTTGATTTTCCTTATAGTTACACTTTATGTATCTATCTTTAAACATTCTACTATTAATACTTGCTTTTGAAAGCAAGGAGCAAACACAAGCCCAGCTGTGGAAGGCTAAGTTCACTGAGTATCTGGGTCAGTACCATCTTGAAACAGGCAAGAGAGTTCTTCCCCAGCCAGGCCCTTTCGAAAAGTCCAGGGAGCTAAAGCACCACGTTTCCCCATAATCTGTGCTATCCCTTGCCAAACCATGGTACTGGAAGCCAAGCTGCATTGAAAATGAAAATCATCTTTTTCAGTTTCTTGGAACCACAGGCAGAACCCTCTCAATTTTGCAAGACGCTGCCGAAGGGGTTGCATGAGGGAAACTAAATTAACATTTTCTATTCCTGCCAGAGCAAAATCCACCTGACACTAGCCACCCAGCTGAGAACCCAAGAGTAAACTAGCAAGGCTCAAACTTGCCCCTGTTGGCCCTTGTCATCTTTGATCCATTCGAAGTAGAGTGGAGTGACCTCCAACCTCGAGTTTCAACATGTGGGCTCTGGGCAAGATGGAAAAGCAGACAGTCACCCTGAGTGGCAGAAAAAATAGAAAAGGGAGAGGAGGGCCAGGTGTGGTGGCTCACGCCTGTAATCCCAGCACTTTGGGAGGCCGAGGCAGGTGGATCACAAGGTCAAGAGATGGAGACCATCCTGGTCAACATGGTAAAACCCCATCTCTACTAAAAATACAAAAAATTAGCTGGGCACGGTGGCGCGTGCCTGTAGTCCCAGCTACTTGGGAGGCTGAGGGAGGAAAATTGCCTGAACCCTGGAGGTGGAGGTTGTGGTGAGCCAAGATTGTACCATTGCACTCCAGCCTGGGTAACAAAAGCGAAACTCCTTCTCAAAAAAAAAGAAAAGGGAGAGGAGAGAGAGAGAGAGAGAGAAAAGAGAAGGGAGAAAAAAACATTGCCTGTGGTGAGGTGGGGAAGGCAAGGAGCTGAGAGAGGCCAGAGAAAGACCCACCCATGGTGGCAATACTGAATCAAAAGTTCAGGTGACCACTTGTCACTCACAAAAAGAATTTTTTTTTTTTTTTTGAGACAGAGTCTTGTCACCCAGGCTGGAGTTCAGTGCTGCAATCTTGGCTCACTGCAACCTTTGCCTCCTGGCTTCAAGTAATTCTCCTGCCTCAGCCTCCCAAGTAGCTTAGATTACAGGTGTGCGCTACCACACCCGGCTAATATTTGTATTTTTAGTAGGGACAAGGTTTCACCATGTTGCCCAGGCTGGTCTCGAACTCCTGACCTTAGGCGATTTGCCCACCTCAGCCTTCCAAAGCGGCTCCCTTACAGATATGAACCACCATGGCTGGCCTGCAAAGGGATTTTTTTCCAGCAGTCCCATCAGCCTTCAAATTTTCTTCCTTGGGGAGAAAAATACCTCCCCATGTCCCAGTATCCTGTACTTGCCTAATCCTGTCACCTACAGCTGTCAGCAACGAGTTCGAGGCAGGTTAATCTCCAAAGAGAATAGTAGTGAACATCCTATAGTGCCAAATCCATTCCTAACCAAAAGGGACTTTACCAACGGTAACCTCTAACACCCTAAATCTTGGGAAGGACCCTAACCTTCCTAAGTTGAGCCTCTAACCCAATTTTGGACAAGCATCTTTGCCATTCAGTAAGAGGGCCTTTTAGCCCCCTATTTCTCAAGAAGGACTTTAGCTCTCCTAACTTAGCCTGTAACGAAATTCCATCCTTTGCCCAGGATAAAATGTACCCTACTACTTACTCAAAGTCTGTCAATTGGTGCTGCAGTCTACTTCCTTTGGGTCAGGGGTCTCTTCAGTATAGTTTGGTGGTTTGACAGGAAAGTGTTACCAGTAAGAGGTCCTGATCCAGACCCCAAGAGAGGGCTCTTGGATCTCTCACAAGAAAGAATTCAGAGCAAATCCATAAAATGAAAGCAAGTTCATTGGCCAGGCGTGGTGGCTCATACCTGTAATCCCAGCACTTTGGGATGCCAAAGCAGGTGGATAACTTGAGGTCAGAAGTTTGAGACCAGCTTGGCCAACATGATGAAACTCCATCTCTACTAGAAACACAAAAATTAGCCAAGTGCGGTGGTGCACATCTGTAATTCCAGCTACTTGGGAGCCTGAGGCAGGAGAATCACTTGAACCTGGGAGGCAGAGGCTGCAGTGAGCTGAGATCATGCCTGCACTCCAACCTGGGTGAAAGGAAGACTGTTTAAAAAAAAAAAAAAAGGAAGAAGTTTATTAAGAATGTGAAGGGAGGCTGAGGCAGGCAGATCACCAGCTCAGGAGTTCAAGACCAGCCTGACCAACATGGAGAAACCCTGTCTCTACTAAAAATACAAAATTAGCCGGGTGTGGTGGTGCATTCCTGTAATCCCAGCTTCTTGGGAGGCTGAGGCAGGAGAACTGCTTGAACCCAGGAGGCGGAGGTTACAGTAAGCCAACATCATGCCATTGCACTCCAGCCTGGGCAACAGAGTGAGACTCTGTTTCAAAAAACACAAAAAGAAAGAAAGAAAGTGAAGGAATCAAAGAAAGGCTACTCCATAGACAGAACAGCCTTTACCATATTTGTAAAATCCAGTCCACTGTTGACGGGCACTTTGGTTGATTCCATGCCCTTGCTATAGTGAATATTGCTGTGATGAACATATGGGTATATGTGTCTATTTGATAGAATGAATTCTTTTCATTTGGATATATACCAAGTAGTGGTATTGCTGCGTTGAATGGTACTTCTATTTTAAGTTCTTTGAGAAATCTCCAAACTGCTTTCCACGGTGGCTGAACTAGTTTGAATTTTCACCAACAGTGTATAAGCATTCCCTTTTCTCCAAAACCTCACCAGCATCTGTTGTTTTTGACT